GGAGGTACTGCTTCCCAGAACCCACAACCTTAAAAGGATAAGATGAGGGTGACATTGCAGATGTCAGACTGACACCAAAGTGTTTGGAGCAATGAGTACCTCTTGTTCATGGATCCCTCTGTGACATAGATCAAGCGGTCTCTCAGCTCGTTTCTCTCCTGGGTACTGAGCTCCAGCTCTTTGGTCAGTCTCTTTTCCTCCTTCTTGGCCTCTTTCTTGCTTAGGACAGTTGCAGGGCATGATGACTGTCTGCCAGCCACTGTAGGCAGAAGAACATAAGTAAATTGTCCAAAGAGAATGCAGAGTGTCCTGGGAGAACACCCTCAGCTCTAAGAGAAGGAGAGCATGCCTGGAAACCAGGGACACCACCATCAGTGTGGTCCAGGCATTAGATGCCTCCTAAGTGAATCTCAACTCTCCCATCACTCTATAGAGACCAGGAGATGAAAGCAGCCAGGTGTTTCCTCTGTCTCCCTACACATGCTCATGATGACCACAGGGATAGCTTCTCCACCATTATTGTCAGTTTTACAAGGTGCAACTTGGCTTTAGATCCCTCACTTTGTGGTTTCACAAGTCAGATGGAAAATTAAGTAACCCAAAGAACTTGAGTGATAGGAGATGGTCAGATGTCCTACCGTGTTAGTCAAGGCCCAGTAGTTTGGACTAAAATTCATGCAGAGTGAGACCACGGTCAACACAGTGGCAATTCCCCCTACTGAAACACCAAACACACCAGAGATGGCAATAGAGTTCATTGTCTGAGTGTATCAACACTGAAATTTATATGGTTAAAGGACAGAAATACCTGCCACCCACAATGGGTTTTAAAGAAATCTAAGGTGGGTACTGTCAGGGAGAGGAGGTCAGAGGAGTTCTGAGAACATAAGACCATGTCCGGGAGCACAATTCTTTCCCTGGTACTACTGTCAGATACCCACTGAAGGTTAAAAAAAAAGCCATGGAAGTAAAATGCAGGGATTCCCTTACATATACTAGCATAGGTTAGACCCTCTGTGACTCCTGATGGTCTCATTTTGTCCCCATGTAACAACCACAAAACCCAATCAAAGTAAAGACTTGGTATTTGAGAATACCTGCCTTAGCCTTGCCATCACCTGCCTTAAGGGATGGAGAAAGTCATATTCTGAAATCCTTGATGTTTAAGTATTGTGATAATCATGGAAATTCTTTTGCTTCCCAGTGAAGTCAGTTTCTGTGCCCAAATTGCTAGGAAGGCCAGCTCAGGCCACCCCAGACAGGAAGCTCAACATCCCCTTCCCAGGACTTACTCCACATTCCCCAAGACCACCTTCTTCGTCCTTCATTACTCTCAGATGAAAGTCCAGCTACTTTCTGCCTCTCTCTAGTTTCTGTCACCTCCATCTCTGCTCTTCCAAAAAGTCTCCTCAGTCGGGAAATCATGTCTAGGGACATATGCTGTAGACACTGAGTGAGAGAGCTCAGTGCACTTAGTGTCACTACAACACTGGTGACATCACAAGGGATGCCAAGAACTCTCCAGGATACAATGGAATGTCCAAAGAAGGGGCTGCTGATGTCATGGGGAACACCCTTTGCCTCCCTGCTAATTTTCTCCCTGTACAGTTAGGAAGCTGAGACATCCTTATAAGGGTGTTTTCTGGGTCACAGACATTGGGAACCTCCACTTTCCAAAGCCAGAGTTTGCTCTAGACTTGATCAGAAACACCTAAGTCATGTGTTATTCTGAATTTAACAGACTGTTTCCCTTCAGACATTGCCCAGGAATGTCTCATCCTACCTCAAGCTTGCATAATTCTGCAATATTAGCCATTAAAACCTGTTGAAAATCAGATCAGGAAGAATGTGGAAGAGGAAAGATCTCCTATCTCATCATGTAGAGATGCTTGAAATCACATCCTGTGAGAGCCTGAAGGGCAGGTGCCAAAATTAGTGTGCATTAGGGGGAGCACTCATGAAGCTGTGTGCTTAGCATTTGAATGGTACCCCAAGGGGCCTTAGGAGGGAGAGGTGCAGGTACCAGGTGCTCACAACAGTCTGGAGATGTGTTGACAGAGGAAGATCAATATTGTAGCTACCAATGAAAAAGCCCTTAGGCTGGGTGAGGGGCTCTCCTCTCAGTGCCAAAGTCACCAAAGCAGGATTCCTCACAGGCCCCTCTGAGCTATATCATGGGATCCTTTCTTAACAATAAAATAGTCAGTAGTGGTGAGGCTCAGGCACAGTGTATAGGACAATACTATAGACATAGCTTGGTTGACAGAACAAGTGCTAACATCTTGTATTCTGATTCCTGATTCAACCCACAAACCACACAAAATCATATAAATGTCAAACCCTGATGGTTGATTGAGTGCACACACTATTGATCAGAACCATAGCTCAGACTTTAGGGACTGAGCCATTGCCAAAAACATCTTTGTCAACTTATAAAGCAAAAACAAAACAAAAGAAAAAACCCACAAGCATCTCATATAAAGCTGCAGGAAATACTGTCCAGTGGTCAGTTCTGATCAGGCGATTTTAGATAGAACAATGCATGTTGACCCTTAATTTGATGGGTCATATGTAAGTCTTTTTGGAAAGTTGTAAGAAGAACAGATGTCATACAGAATATAACAGGATGTAATAATCACTCTGCCCTACCTTGCTCTACTCAAGTTATTTTTTGTGTCAGTGATTAGCAGGCATATTAAAACAGCAATTAGAAATAGGGGGCAGAGATGGAAGAAAATGGTTATAGCTATACTGGGGAATATGCTCGCCTCAACATAAGAAAACCCATCTCTCTCAGTGACTGGCCCTGTCCTCACAGTCCTTGCAAGCCCCAATTGTAAGCCTAGCTTTTGGAAAGTGGAAGCAGAATTCTCTGAGCTCAAGGGTAACCTGGCAAGCCAGGTAGAAGAGAACATGGTATACCTGAGACCCTGTTTCAGAAGAGAAGAAAGCAAACAAAATAAAACAAAACACCACTGAAATATCCAAGGCCACACCTACCAACCCTTGTCTATCATAAAAATCTTACCATTCTCTCCCTGCCAGTCTTTCTTTCTGAGAAGACAGAGTAGAAGTAGAAATGATCTTTCTATTCTAAGGACCTTGTTCTATCTATCTTTTGTAACACTGTCTGAACAACTGAGTAATATCCACTGCTGCTAGCATAATCTTCCTATGACAATCTCTAGCTTCTCTGAGTGTTGCATTAGTGGAGAATCCAGCATCACTGTGTAGAGGGAAAGCAGCACTGTTTCCCTGCATTTGTGGTCCTAGACCTGGCTCCAGGGCAGATGGGTGCACAACTTGGGATCCTCTGCAGGGACAGAGTGATGTGAAATGGGCAATGAGCAGGCTGAACACCATTGCATAGTCCCTCATTTCAGGTAACAAACACAATCTGTTCCCCATCTTTGGAGCATCAGTTGAGCCCATGGACTACACATGATCATGGTAATGTCTTGCAGTCATCATGAAAATAGAAAGCAGAAAAGGAAAAGCTAAAGGACTTCACTGCA